GAGTGACTCATGTGTTAAAGGAATACCTGTGGCTTTTGTGTAAAGAACAGCCTGCAAAGGGCAGGGAAAGAAGCAGGGGGCCCAGTTAGGAGGCTATTGCAGTGACCCAGGCAAGGGATGATGGTGGCCTGGTCCAAAGTGTAGCAGAGAGGAGGATGAGAGGTGGTCAGATCTTGGATATGTTTTGAAAGGAGAACCGCCAGGATTTCCAGTCTGGACCAGGAATGTGGTGTCATAGAAAGAAGAGCCAAGGTTGGCTCCAAGGTCTTGGGCCTGATCAACTAGAACAATGGAATTGCCATCTCCCAAGATGAGGATGGTTGGGGGCAGAGCAGGTTTTGAGAGAGTAAGATCAGGACCTCAGGGTTGGACATGTCAAACGTGAAACATTTAGCAGTCATCCAAGTGGAGACATTAAGTAAGCAGTTGGCTTTAAAAATTTGGTGGAAAATTCAGGAAAGAGGTCTGGGCTAGAAATATAAATTCAGGTCTGGCATATATATGATGCTTGAACTCAGGAGACTGGATGAAAGCACCAGTGGAATAAGTAGATAAAAAGATCAAGGGGCAAAACCCTGGGACACACTGATACTCAGGGTGAGGGTGAAAAAGAAGGAACCAGCAAAGAAACTAAGAAGGAGCGATGGAGAGGAAAAATGAAAACTAAGAGAAACTTATGCTTCTGAAGAAAAACTGGATAACGAGGAACCATAAAAACTTCACCCAAAAAACAAAAAAAAACCTCTCAGGCAAAGGGGGCAATTCAGGAGACGGCCCCATGGCCGAGTGGTTAAGTTCACGTGCTCCTCTTCGGTGACCCAGAGTTTTGCCAGTTCAAGTCCTGGACGTGGACATGACACCGCTCATCAAGCCACACTGAGGCAGCATCCCACATGCCACAACTAGAAGGACCCACAGCTAAAAATACACAACTATGTACCAGGGGACTTTGGGGAGAAAAAGGAAAAATAAAATCTTTTTTTAAAAAAAGGGGGCAATTCATAAAAACTGAAGCAGCTTTTACAAGGAATGGTTATTTAGAAAGTTAGGTCTCACCTAAATTGATCTTATGATTTGTAACCTTACAATGGAGATTATAAGTGGGTAGGCCTGAAAGACAGATCACACAACAGCTTCCAACAAGCAAATGAAATAATTCTTCATTTTTAAAAGTCAACTACTAAAAAGATAAACTTCCAAGCTTGTTGTTTTTTTTCCCTGCTTTTTCTCCCCAAATCTCCCCAGACATAGTTGTATATTCTAGTTGTGGGTCCTTCTAGTTGTGGCATGTGGGACGCCATCTCAGCATGCCCTGATGAGTGGTGCCATGTCCGCGCCCAGGATCCAAACTGACAAAACCCTGAGCTTCCGAAGCAGAGCGCATAAACTTAACCACTTGGCCACAGGGCTGGGCCCCCAAACCTTGTTTTGAGAACAAGATTGCCACAGAGCATACACATTCTCTCTCAAATCATCATGTATAGTCTAATTAATAAGTTCTTAGAATTTTTAGCATAACCATGAGAGTACTTCATTATACTTCTGAATCTTCAAAGAAGACCTAGATAAATTAGTTCCCTAGTTGATTAAGGATCTGATTTTAACACCAAATCTCACGCTCAAGGCCCAACTCCAATCCTGTGAAGCTTTTACTAACCACTTCTCCAAGTGGATCATCATCTTTCTCCTTTGACTCTTCTATAGACTCCGCCCCCCAAACCACTCAATTGGCAATCGCGTTGTCTTTATCAAAATAACTCATTTTTATACCAGAATTGGATCAATGCTTTACATACATTCTCTCTAATCCTTACAACAACTCTGCAAAATTGTGTTTATCCCTATTTTATAGATGAAGAAACTGATGCTTGGAGAGATCATCCAAGGTTATGCAACTAGTAAGGGACAAAACCAGGATTTAAACCCAGATCTGTCTTACTTCAGAGCTTTCCGTTCACCCACTATACATACTGCCTCTTGCACAGAAGTACTATCCTAATAATCATCAGTCACTATCTCTGGGACCCTGGGCAAGTTTTTAAACCTCTCAGAGCCTCAGTCTTCTCATCCATGAAATAAGGAGGATACACCACATTGTTATGAAGATTAAATAAGATAATGCATGTAAAAGTCCATATAATGGTCTTCATTATTACACATATTAGATTTTATGCTCCTTCGGGAGAGGTTCTTATGCCGCTCATGTGTATCCCCTTCAACACCCAATAAAGGGTTTAATATACATTGAACATTATCTACTAGTCTTGGAAAGATTTCCTAAGGAGCAAAGTGGTGTCCCTTTCCAAGACGCCTGGATTAAGTATCCATAATCCAAACCTTAAGCTACAAGACAGTGACAAAGTCAGTGCACCCATCAGCCTGCACAGCATTTAACTGGTGTTTCCTCTCCAACGTGGCCTTCAGTGCCATAACAGTTTGACAAAGAAAAAAGCCCAAATGAAAAATATGAACACATTTTGTAAGAAAACATTCCTGGAAGGAGGGAGGACAGAAAGAAGGCCTGGTTTGTTATCAGTTAACAGAGACGGCATTGTTCTGTGTACCCTCTGATTTACAGCCTCCTGATAACAATAGTATCTAAAACACTGTCTAACTCATCACTCTCTATGAAATTTGGTCTACTTTAGGAAAAGGCGCAATAAAATATTTACTAAACTTCCTTTACCCCCAGTAAGATGGACATGTCTGGTGGCATATCCAGGGAGGTGTACTGGATTTGCTACCAGGTAAGCACAGTGGATGGGAGTCAACCCCTGCTCTGCTGTTATGTGATTCACTTAACATCTCTCTTAATGACGGATCTGTTCTCCAGTTTGTAAAACATGGGCTAATACTATTTATTTTGCCTACTTCACAGGTTTATTGTGAAGGACAAATGAAATAATATATGTGAAATTAATTTACGAATTACAAATATATTACCAGAAATAGATAATCACCTACCACTTGTCCTTTGGTAAATGTCTGGTATTAGCAAAGCTGAGAGACTGATTTCTCTGGATGTGTTCACCTTGTAGTACCAAAGAAAATTAAAAAAAAAAAAAAATCTATACATCTTTTAAAAGAACATAACAAATGTTTTCTTAACTACAGAAGCTAGGGAAAAAGGTAGTTGGTTAAGTTGATCCTTCCACAGAAAAAATAGCCTCAGATGGTTCAGATATGGCTTCCTAACTAAAAGTGTGAAAATGGACTATCAGGCCCAGATGTAGGTACACACTGCATATGTGGCAGGGCTTACATACTACGTCATTTCACCTAGCACCTCAGTCTCTGCAAAACGCCAAGTGGCTCAGAGTATGAAAAACTAGTCCTTCTCCTTCTCTCCCCAGTGGTCATCCCAGTTGCCTCCTCAACACCTCTGGCAAAAAGAGGAAAAGGAGAAATGAGAAATCAAAACTATTCTTAGATGCAGGACATGCCTACCATCTCTCTTCGTGTTTCCTTGACCTAAATCCTTTCTGAACTAAGCATGGGACCCACAAAGAGCTGATGATGCAGTTTACTAGCTGACCCCCTGAGCCCAGTAATTCTTTGAATTGTGTCACCAACTTTCACCAAAACTTTTTTTTTTTTTGAGGAAGATTAGCCCTGAGCTAACATCCACCACCAATCCTCCTCTTTTTGCTGAGGAAGATTGGCCCTGAGCTAACATTGTGCCCATCTTCCTCTATTTTATATGTGGGACGCCTGCCACAGCATGGCTTGATGAGTGGTGCATAGGTCTGTGCACGGGATCCAAACTGGTGAACCCCGGGCCGCCGAAGCAGAGCATGCGAACTTAACCACTACACCACTGGGCCAGCCTCTAAAACTTTTAAATAAAGAAAAATAGCACGAATGTCCAGAATTAGACTGCAAGCTAGCAAAGATCCAAGTTCACACACATACTATACACACACACACAAAATTTATCCTAGTATCATTTTTGTTTATCATTTATCAACTATATCGAACTAGAAATATATTTTCAGCTACAATAGTAAGAAAAAGGGAAGAAACATAATAAGCACTTCTGAGAAAATTTTGTTAGAGGCAAATACTTTAGACGCTGCTTATTCTTGTTTCAGTATAAAAAGGCTGAAATTTGCCTTTGAAATAAGCAATATATAAATTGCTTGAGCACTTGAAATCCTAATTTTCTATGAAACCCTTGCTCTCTCCCCTCATTTGAAACTTGCTAACATTTCTCAAATAATCCTCTGAATAGAATTCCCATTTTCCCAGAAGTGTCCCACAAGTGGATGTAATGCTTCCTTGTGTCAAGGCCATTGGCTTTTACGATGTAACTAACTTCTGCACCTTTTACTGAAAATTTATTTATTTATTTATTTATTTATTTATTTTAAGGAAGATTAGCCCTGAGCTAACTGCTGTCAATCCTCCTCTTTTCACTGAGGAAGACTGACTCTGAGCTAACATCCATGCCCATCTTCCTCTACTTTATATGTGGGACGCCTACCACAGCATGGTGTGCCAAGCAGTGCCATGTCTGCACCCGGGATCCAAACCCTCAAACCTCGGGCCACCGAAGTGGAACGTGCACACTTAACCTCTGCGCACCAGGCCAGCCCTGAAAAATAACTTATTGATGTTGGCAATATCATTGCACCATCTTTGTCCCTGATTATGGGTTGTAAGCCACTTAAAAATAAGCGACCTATCAAGTTTTTTGTATTGACGACATTTATTCCAACATTTTAATTTTAGCCTTTCTCTTGTTTTTTTAAGTTGTTTTTGTTTTTTAAGTTTGGCTATTTTTTAAATACCCAAAGCACACCATGAAACATATCCTCCGTTTAATGATCTGATGGATGTGTTGGCCTTGTCTTAAGAGACCTTGAATTTCATGAGTCCCTGAATTACAACCAGGATAATGTTTAAGGTCAACTTCAAACTGATCTTTCTTGCTCTTCTAAGAAGTTTTCTGTATGAAATAATAATATCCATTACCAGCAAAGCCAAAGAAGCATACTCACCAAGTGTACATAAGGCACAAAGTATCCAAAAAGTGCAAGTGGTATTCCAACGGCCCACACTGCATAAGCTGTCACCTTGAAGATGGCAAAATTGAAAAATTTTTTTGGAGGACTGAACTTTCTCCTGGAAAAGAGGGAGAATCTGTTGCTTCCTTCGGTTCCACTCTCTTTATCTTTGGCACTGGAAGCAAGAGGTCGGTAGGTGAAGCTAGCCAGAAAGAGAACAAACATGAAGATGGAGAGGATCCTCAGTGTATAAAAGAGGCCCACGCTGTCAGTCAGAACCCTTAAAAGGAAAGGCAGCAAAATTGTAAAGATACTGCTGCCAGCAGTGACAATGCCATTCACCAGTCCAAGGCGCTTCTTGAAATAGTGTCCCAGAATGACCAGTGAAGGCTGGTATGCAAAGGAGCAGCCACAGGCAAATATGATTCCATAGGTAAGGTACAGAGGCTCGATGGAACTGTAAAAAGATGAAAAGCAGCTTTCATTATTTTCATCATGTTCTTGGCAGAATAAAATCTTATCGTGAAATTGGCTTTTAGTTAATCAATGTATCTTCTACAAATAAAAATTAACCAAAAACAGAGGCAAAAAACTTAGTCAAGAATGTAGCATGAAAAATATTTTAATTTAATCTGAATGGTTAATAAAAATGCCTTGAGTATGTGAAAAACAACCATTAAGGTCATAAGGGATTTTGTTCCTCTTCCTCTATCCATGGATTTTGGGTGAACCAGGCAGCACTGGGTAAGAACTGCTGGCTCTCCACAACTCAGAAAGAAAGGATGGTGCCAGGAAGGGCCTCAGGACAAGTGAGAGTGATTAAGCTAACAAACAAAAAAGCTAGTCTCAATAAAAGTTAAAAAAAAATTATAAGTTAACTATGAAAACTCATTATTTCATGGAGTTTCCCCAGGTACTTAGTAAGCAATCTATTCAAAGCAAAAGCTGCATTTGATATTTCCTCCCCAAGGTTATGTCAGGAACATTCACAGAGAGAAGCGGCAGGCTTTCATTTTTGCTGGCCTAAGGGCTGCAGACCAACCTTCGCCCTGTATTACGCTGTTCTCAGCGTTATGCAAGATAACAAAAAATCATATTGTGATTGCAGAAAGACTAAATGAAGTGTGTTCATTAGTGACTCTAGTTTGCAAGCTTTAAGGCCATGTATGTCTCAAAAGAATAATAAAGGATTAAGAATTTTATAGTTTAATCAAATAACTATACATTTCTTATGAAAGTAAAGGATTATATCATTAATATTCGTGGAAACAAGGTAATGAGTAAAAGAAAACTGGTTAAAGTTTCTTCTCTTGAAAAATCCAATTCAATAGGCTATTTATCAGCCGTAAAGGCAAACTATTTATTAGAAACCAAGATAGATAAAGTTGATTAGTAACTAAATTTTGGACAATATTGGTCTAGCAATATGCTGAGGTAATCACAAGCACTCTAGAATCTGATCAAGTAAAGGCATGTTGGGGGGCCAGCCCAGTGGCATAGTGGTTAAGTTCATGTGCTCTGCATTGGCAGTCCGGGATTCGTAGGTTCAGATCCCAAGCATGGACCTAGCACCACTCATCAAGGCACACTGTGGCAGCATCCCACATAAAACAGAGGAAAACTGGCACAGATGTTAGCTCAGCAACAGTCTTCCTCGGGCAAAAAGAGGAAGACTGGCAACAGATGTTAGCTCAGGGCCAATCTTCCTCTCACACATACACACAAAAGGCACGTCAGCAATCCCCGCTCTGAGATGCTCTCCCCCTTCTGTTAATCCACAGCTAGCACCACCTTCAATGCAGGCTCAAGAGTTGCTCCTAGGCTTTTCCAGATTAACCTCATCCTCACTCAGACCACCCTTGACTGAATCCTAACTCTTTACTCAATAAACACATATTGAGAACAGTTACTATGTTCCGGGTACTTGGTGATAAAAAATTTTTTTTAATGTGGTTATACCTGACTCATAGTCAGCTTAGTGAAACAAGATATCTACCCCAAATAATAAGAATATAATACAGAACAAGATATAAATAATACTCTGTTCATTCTGCACCAGTTTTCCCACGTAAGCAGTTTTCCAGATAACTGAAACTTACTTAACAATTTTTAAGGAAAAATCTAAGTCTGTTATATATTTCTCAGCCTTCTTCAAAGCACATATTAAAAATAGTATTGGCAACACAGTATCACCATGAACATCAATTTCTGTACAATTTACCACAGAATACTGAAGCTGTCAGTGGAAAACCAGAGAGCCCTGTGTATGAATGGGAACATTCTTACATTCTTTCGCACACAATTTTAAACACTAAGTGCTGGGTGAGATTCTCTTGGTCTCCCTCCTACAAAGGAAAGGCTTTGGGATGTTCACTGCTGCTGAGGCTTTTTCAGTTACTTCTAAAGGCTCACCTCAGTAACAGATGGTTCAAACCGCTGAAGTCCAACCACTGAATAAGTGCAGAGTAATCAGGGAGATACCAACCATGTATGCAAAAAGGATTCCAAGAAGGGGCACTGAGGTGACCTGTGGTTGGTAGAGAAGGCTTCCCAGAAAGGCAGAACTCGGGCGAGAAGAAAAGTGGGTCCACTGTTCAACACCTGGAATTTATACCACATTCCCCCTCACTCTTATAATTACTCTGAAATTTTGGTAGCTTTGATCAGTGCATTAAATAATGAAATTGAATAGAAAATATGAGAACATGTAGCAAGGTCAATATGCTTTCAAAAAGTTTTGTTTCAGTTGGGGAGAGAGAGAGAACTGGGTCACAATGTAGAATATATTTCATAATATTTATTTCTCAATGGTAGAAAAAGCTTGAAAAACACTGCTCACTTTAAGTAGGGTTGTAGGTATGTGTTTTGTCCACCACAGAAGGCAATAGTTACACAGGTTTTCAGCCTCTGAGTCCTTTTTCATCAAGGCCTGAGTGCTGACACATTCAGTAAGTGCCACGGCCACAGGAACTACAACAGGCACCCAGAGGCTCCGAGACCAAAGCAGCTATCTCACGATGCAATAACAAACGATGCTGTATTACTGATAAAAAAGAACTAAAAGTAAATGATCTCACAGAATTACCTAACCAGAATCTTAATCCAAACAAAACTGTTTTTTTCCCTTTAAAAAACAACTTTTGAGAGGAAAAATATCATAAAGGCACTTTAAAGATAGAATATCTATTTTCTACCAAGAAATAAAAATAATTGTTTAGAATCCAAATAAAATTTCTAAGTTAAGTGAAAGAAAGAAGCTCAGCTCAGAGTTGGGGAAGGGGTGTATATGGTGGGGGGTGGAGGGGTCGAATTAGTGAAACCAAGGATTCTCTTGATCTCCCAAAGTAAAAATAAACAGGGCAAGAAATGTAAGTTGGATTTTTTTCCCTAATGATCACAATAATGCTTTTCAACTAGAGCATGAAGATAGCTAGGGAAGGGAAAGAGGCAGGAAATGAAGATAAACCACTAAAGTAGAGACAGAGGATGGAAATCATCTTCAGAGGTTTTCTTGTTTATCACTCCTGTTAGCCAGAGCTACATATTAACCAGTGTTTCTCTGCCTGGGGATTATTCTGACAATGAGAGGGATTTACTAGTAGAATTGGAGATGGAAGGAGAGGTGCCTCAAACAGTAATGTGTCCATCAGCTCTTTGCAGTTAGTCCTTCTTCAGTGCACGACATCTTTTAATAGGCACAGGGAAACTGTATTGATATTAAGTTTTATTTTAAGCTGCATTTGACAACTTCATTTTCCTCATGATCTTTTAAAATTTGAACATGTTCTTTTTTAAAGAATGTAGACGGGGGCCAGCCTGGTGGCATGGTGGTTGGGTTTGCACACTTGCTTCGATGGCCTGGGGTTCACAGGGTCCAATCCTGGGCATGGACCTACATACCACTCACTGGACCATGCTGTGGTGATGTCATACATACAAAATAGAGGAAGACTGGCACAGATGTTAGCTCATCGACAACCTTCCTCAAGCAAAAAGAGGAAGACTGGCAAGAGATGTGAGCTCATGACCAATCTTCCTCACACACACGCACAGACACAAAATGTAGATGGGAATTCTCCACCTGGGTTGAAATAAATAGCAAAGTTGTTTTTTTTCTAACTCCCCAAACCCCAGTATATAGTTGTATATCCTAGTTATAGGTCCTTCTCGGTCTTCTATGTGGGACGCCACCACAGCATGGCTTGATGAGCAGTGTGTAGGTCCACGCCCAGGATCCAAACTGGCAAGCCCCAGGCTACCGAAGCAGAGCATGGGAATTTAACCACTCAGCCCTGGGGCTGGCCCCAAAAGCAAAGTTTTGATCTCATTAATAAAAATATTTCAAATTGAGCTTATGAACAACTGCTTCAAAACACCACTTACTGTACACTTTGGGCCTCAGACTAAGCTATCTTTAACTAAGGCCATTGCTTTAGACAACTCACTGTTATAACTTGAGTTCTTTTAGGATTTTTATGTGAATAGAAACAAACAAAGGAGAGCCCTTTTGCTTGGCTCCAGGGAACACATATATCCTGATGACCTCTAACTCAGGGGCTGCAAGCAAAAGTATTTAAATTTAAAAGATTCTCAAGCTCTATGAGCTGCTATGGATAACAATATGTAAGTCATACTGCTTAAAGTCTTAAGCAATGAAAAGGAGGATTTTTCTTTGGAAACAGCAAAGTTCCTGAAAGGAAAACTTTGAAGTATCTAATAGTTCTTGAAAAGCAACATGAAGAAACTGAGTACTTACCTTACAAAAGAACTGGACAAGAGTCCAATGAACGCAACAGCAGCACCCACGACGGCTGTTTTCCGACAACCAAATATGTCCGTGAAGACGCTGACTATCGGGCAGCAAAAGAAAATCATCCCCATGGAGAGAGAACTTACCCATGCTGTAAGAGAGTAAAAAGGGACACTATGACATGGTGAACTATATTTGTACTTATCTCACAGTATATAATGCATACTTAGAAAAATATTAATGCAGAAAAGGTACTGTGATGAATGGGAAGAGGATGGGATAAATTAGTAACAAATCTAAATTATAGTTCAAAGGATCAGCCAATACTAAATGTAAACAGCAATTATTTGTGTTTAATAAATTCTTGAAAAGTCTGTAGTCTTAAATAAATCAAACATTCTCCTATGACGCAAACACTATTAATCTCTAATCTGTTATCCATGATTTTAAGCAACTTCTACTCTATGGAAAGAAAATTTACTTAAAAAAGAATAACGAGATACGTTTAGAAATCATGCCTAGGTGGTCAAACTGCAAAGGAATGATGACCACTGAAGACAGGATAGTGGTTAACTCTTGGGGAGAGGAAAGAGAATTATAATCATTTGGACCCAGTAGTTAAGAATTGATCATCTGCATAGACTCTGGGCTTAGTTCTTTTGTTAAGGGAATCCAGTCATACTCTTAGTAGACTAGTTGTTGACCCAGATAATAGTTACTGGGTATTCACTTTACTTATAAAACCATAAATACACTTTATCTTCTTTTCTGAGAGTATGTTATTTTTCACAATAAAAAAAACAGCAAGAATCAGAAGTCATAATTTCCTGTTCTGATGCTGTAAAAATCACAACTGCTGTAAAAAAAAGAAATACTGAGGAAAAATTATCATAATTTGGTACCAAAGAAATGAGTGATCTCATAGGATATCAAGTCTGTAAATTCTTCTGAAAAAGAATAATAAACTAATGGGGAGTAAGTGACAGTGGGTTTAGAACAAACAGACCTGGCCCAAATCCCCCAGCTCTAACTATAATGCATCCGTGGGCAAGTCATTTCCCCTAAGTCTGTTTGCTTATCTTGAAAGAGGCTCAAACACATACCTTTCCAGAATTATTAAGGATTAGAGAAAATCTATCTAAACCTCAGTATCTAGCACAGAAGCACTTTATAATTTAGAGTTTTAACAACAACAAGTTGTAGTATAAATTGAAGTAGATGATCTCTAGAGTTCCATTCAGCTCTGGAAGTCTACTAGTCTATTACTCTATTTCCTCAGCAAAGGAAGTAAGTCCAGACCTTATGCAAATAATTACTTCTTAGTGATGGGGTCCAAATGAAGCTTTACCAGACTAACAATTTCATTTAATTCATTGCCTTCTTACATTTTAAATTACTTTTTAAATTATGTATATTTTAATCAGCCATAGTTCCTTTCTTCCCTTACTGGAAACAAGAGAGACAATAATCTTAAAACACAATGAGGAGATTGTGCCAACAATGTGATCTTGACTTAGGTGTTGGTGGGGGGATTCAGAAGTGGACAGTAGAAAGAAGCGACTGGCCACATGAGCTAGTACCACCCTAGCCCCAGATGTGCAGAGCCGTTCAGGATGGGTCTGCTTAAGGAGAAGTAGGATTTTTTAGTCTACTATCTAATATAAAAATGTCGCTGATTTATAATAATTTAATCTCATTCAAAAAAGTTTAGTCATCTATCATGTTTAAGAAACGATCTAAACAATTTAGGCAGACTAGAAGAATAACATCCTAACATCTATTTTTGGATAAAGGCAGTTTTACAATTAAGTAAAAAGGCAACACTAATAGACCACATTAAGAAATCCAAGAACATACACTTATATTGCACTTAATGCTGATATAAGTCAAGGCATTTTCAAGAATAAAGACAAGTCTTTATGCATTACTGTCGATTTTGATTTGCTATACCAAATATGAACAATTTTACAGATTTTTATGTCCACCAAACAAGCACTAAATGCAGGATATAATCAAACACAACTTTATTTTTGTCTCAACTATCCTCTTTTTATTTTTGAGGAAGATTAGCTCTGAGCTAACATCCGCTGCCAATCCTCCTCTTTTTGCTGAGGAAGACTGGCCCTGAGCTAACATGTATGCCTATCTTCCTCTACTTTTCATATGTGGGATGCTTGGCACTGCGTGGCTTGATAAGCAGAGCATAGGTCCGCACCCAGGATCCAAACTGGAGAAGCTGGGCTGCCAAAGCAGAGTTCGTGAACTTAACCACTACGCCACCAGGCCAGCCCTCAACTATCCTCTTAAAATTTATGTGGTAGGTAAAAATGTTCCTGTGCCACTGCATGACCACTTGGGCAGACCCACAGGATTCTTCTGGCCAGTGTTAAATAACAGAAAGGCCTATGGCCACTTTAGGTAACAAACCAAGCTTCACTTGGTAATCAAATCTATTTTCCCAGCCCCAGCTGGGAAGGGACTGACATGAGCTTTGTCTCTTTGCCATGACCTCCCTCCCTGTCCCTAGCTGTCAGTACTCTCCAAGGTGGGCATGGGATGGGGGGGGAAGGAAGGAAGGAGATTCCAACTTAAGTGGTCCTGCCAAAAAAAGGCCTGTCTGATGTTTGAAGCTGACTCTTTTTTCTCAGATTCACTTCTGTGGGTTCTTCAGAGTCTCACCTCAGAGTTCCTTCTGGCTGTAGCTCCACTGACGTGGATAATTCATTCTCCTTCTGGCTTTCTGGGTGTCACTTAAAAGACTCACTGTTGGAGCCTCATTGCCCTTCTGGGCAGTTTACTTGGGCAGGAGTCAAAACAGCTCAGGCTGTCCCCCTTCCTCCAGCAGGCCTGCCTCTGAGCTGTAGGAAACACTCATCTTGCCTTTGCCCTGACAAACCCTGGAGTGTAGGCAAATTCCAACACAGCCACATCTTGGGTAGCTCTTGCTGTGGGAGCGGTTAGCCAGCTACAGTTCTCTCCTTGTTGGATTTCTCAGGGGATTCAGACCCTAGTCCTCTGCACCCCCTAACTGAAGAGAATTCTTTAAATCTCTAAGTGGTCCCTTGAAAGCTCCTCTCACTAGTTATCAAGTGAAAGAGCATGCACCCCCACTTCTCTCATGGGGTGGGGAGAAGCCACAGCATAACCTTCTCAAAGAATCCTCATAAAGTGCTCTTCCTTGACCCATAAGCATCCTCTTTATGGGTTTTAGAGCTTCTAACCAGTTCTTGAACATGAACTATCTCACCTTTGAATTATACACTATTGTCCCTTAGTGTCTCAGCTAAAATCCCAATAGCATATTCTGTTATACTAATAATTAGCAACAGACAAAATTGGGTCTATCTTCTGATCACATTTGAAAAGAAATTAATTCTTGAATGAGTAATTACTTGCCCTTGTAAACTCACAAAATTTCAAGTTTTTGTAAAGTTTTAACATGGCATCCCAAAGAATTCAAGGTCTTAAGGGTTATGAAATACACCAAAAAATAAAATGGGCTGTTATTCTTTCACCTCTTCCAAGTCTGTGTGGTTATTATTAATAATAAAAACTCAACAGAGTTAGCTGTTGAGGTGACAATATATTTGCTGTGCTCAGAGATGACCTCATTTAATCTTCAAAACTCTAAAGGATAGGTACTTTTATTAAGTTCATTTAACAATCGAGAAACTGAAGTACATAGTCGCTAAATCCAGCATGGTAAAATTTTTATTTAAAAAATGCAAACTAGCCCTAGTCCCTCTATGTAATTCAACCAAACACCCCCACAGGGTTTCCTAATATTGTTGAAGAAACAAGTCTTTTTCAACGGAAGCAGTGCTATTTAAATTACGGAATAACAACATTCTCTCCCTTCCTATTAAAAGTGCCTATTGTGTTCTAGGCACTATCCTAGGCTGTTGAGAATACAAAAACAACTGAGATTCCTCCACCTTCCACTAATTTTCAGTCTAGTAACCTACATGCAAATAAAGGTCCACTAGAACACCACACAGAATGTGCTAAATGTTTTGAGAGAGAGAGAGATGTCAAAAAGTGTAAATTAAAGAAAGGCTTTAGAACATGCTTGTATACTCTAATTTGAATATGTGTGTGTCTTTGATGTTATAGAGAGACACATCCGTGAAAACTATGCTGGGAAATCTTTTTAAAAAAATACCAGGAAGCTTTCCAATTTCCCCATCCAGATCCTCCTTGTTTCTTACTCCATACGGAGAACAAATCCTCAGCCTCAGTGTTTGGCCAAATAAAAATGCAAATCACTCCAAGGAAGTGGTTAAGTTTAATATTTAAGAAGATTTTCCTGAGCCAGCCACGATGGCTTAATGGTTAAAGTTCGGCACTGTCCACTTCGGCAGCACAGGCTCAGTTCCCAGGCGCAGAACCACACCAGTCCTCTGTCAGTAGCCATGCTGCAGCAGCAGTTCACATAGAAGGACTTACAACTAGAATATACAACCAGGTACTGGGGTTTTGGGGAGGGAAAAAAAAAGAGGAAGATTGGCAACAGTTGTTAGCTCAGGGTGAATCTTTCCCAGCAAAAAAAAAAAAAGGAAAAAAGAAAAAGAAGATTTTCCTGCATATTAAGAAAAATAAAGGTGTTGTAATTATGCAGATGTAAATGATGGCAAGGGCAAAGTGTTCATAAATGTTCTTTTGCCCCTTTTTGGTAGCTTGAACCCCCATTTCCACTTGATCTTGGCTTTTTTCAAGACATCTTTGCTCTGTAATATCTCAACATTGGTCTAATAGCCTTAAATGAAATGAAGTGAAACTATACTATACAAAATTGAGATTAAAATGCAAAGTATTATGTAGCAAAGTCCTAACAAGTCTTGGGGCATGGAGCTGTCTGGCAACTACACACAAATTCAAGACTGAGTAGACTGTACTTGCCTTGACCATTTTATTGCCAATCTAAAGGTTATTTGGTAGTTATACTTCACTCAGGAATGGTTTCAAAATTATTTGCTATCAACTTCTATTAATGGCCTCAGGGTGAAGTGGTTAAGCAAACCCTCCTGCAGACAACAATGTTAAAATCTGTGTGGGGAGAAAAAAAGTATATTTAACTACATTGGAAAATGCCTAAAAACAGACAAAAGTCAGAGGAGAGTTAACTCTTAAAAAGCTGAAGCTGGAAGAACT